GTGAGTTTTTTATCAGATTTCCTTTCACCTTGCTCACTTCCTTCATAATGAACTGGATACTGGAGTCCTCCTGATAGCAGAATTCCCATGGACTTAAGGTTATATGTAAAGTCCTTCTAATGCCCTCAACATTGAGAAAATATGAAGTGCCTTTTGCTGACCTGTATGGCCTAAGGCAGGCTGAGCTGGGGTATTGCTGCCCTGGAACTGAGTGCCACAGATTCTTTAAGAAGCAGCAGGTTAGGTTTGAGCAAGTACAACTTCATCAGCTGCTACAGCACTGCACCTCCGTTTTAAAGACTTCAGGAAATGTATTGGTTATCAATCTCAGAAATGAAATCTGGGGGCAACAAATGGCAATTTCTGGAAAATGAGGGAAAATATCAGTGAACCAGATTCTATGTTTCTAACTTTGTTGTTCTCTATATGGCCTTACACCTGGGTTTTTGGATGTTTTGTTCTTGCTGGATTTTGTTCTGTATATCTTCAGCTTTGTGGGATTCTTTCAGTAGCATCAGACAAAAAAAGCGCATCAGGTTTTTTTAAATGACTATCAGTGTTAGGATGGTATTTAAGACAAGCACACCTTGGTCTCTTCAATGAATAAAATAGGGACCTGTCCATGTCTGCTCTGATTAGAAGGAGCACCTTGGGCTCTCCCAGGTTCTGTGGCTTGTGAGGAGTTTGCAGGCTGTCCCCATTCCCAGGAGTTGGGAGCATCTAGAGAATGCTTGGACATACAGGAAGGAGTTTGGAAGCTCCAACCTGCCCCTAAGTATGGGCCACATTAGGTCTTTGTCAGTGTACAGATGAGGCCTGTCAGAACAAAGTTTCAAATAATTGCATTGCTTTGTGTTTCAGCTGTGCTGTGAAACGAGGGCAGTATTATGTTGTTTATAAATGTTGTCATCAAGCTAGTGACATTTAAAAAAGCAATTAGCATGGCAAGTGGAATTGTAATTGTTGCACCTTTCTTGAACAGAAGTTCAAGTTTTAGCCAGTTATAAGTTCTGTAAAAATTAAAATAGTGACAGTGAAGAGCATGTCTTGAAGTTAACCTCCAATATCAAACCTAGCCTCTGCCTCAGCCCATGAAAGCTTTGATCATCATAAAACAACCAGTTATTAATATGTCTAGTGAATAATCCTCAAAAAAAACAAAACAAAACAAAACAAAACAAAACAAAACAAAAAAAAACAAAAAAAAACAACAACCCTATCCTCTGAAGTAAATTGCAAGGATTTTTTTTACTTCTAGTTATGATGGAGCTTACATAACTTTAGGTGTACAGCATGCAATTATAACGCCCTTTTCTCTTCACGCATTTTATGATTAGAGGTGAAAATTACCATTAACAGGGTTTCTGAGAAGCAGCATGTCATTTGCTCTCTGACCCACTGGTATTCCTACATTTGACAAATGTCTGAAGCTAAAAATGAGCACACGCAGAGGTCATCCCTTTATCTGTTAAAATGTTAACATCTCAGGCCATTAGGGATTGTTTCTAACTGATAACAAATCGCTCCTGTAAAATGGAAGTAACTCACAAGCCTGTTGATTTATTTAATAGCACGTTGCCTCTGATCTATGATTGATGCAAATTGCTCCAAGCTCTAACAGTAAGTGGAGTTTAAATGTTGAGATTGATGTTGTTGACTTCCTGTGCTATGTGGTGATTTCTAAGCTTTTATTTCGTAACTATGCCAAAGGGTTGAACTAAAACTCATGAGGAGTCATCATTTGCTGATGGCTTTTTACGCAGCTTGTAAACTGTATCTCAAGTGAGGCATTTCCTTACTCTCTTTTCACAGGCTACCTGCTTAACTTTCCTCTTTCCAGATGTCCTGTTCCCTGCCTCTGCTTTAGCAGGCAAAGTGGCTTGTGGTATATTCTCTCCAGATAAAACTTTATTGTAAGAAATTATAGCGAGTTGTTTAGAAAAGTATTATAAAGCTTGGTTACTCTGATTCCTTGCATTCCTTTCAGTGTTTCACAGTTGTTTAGAGATGATTCTTGCCTATGCAAGGATTTTGAGGTTGGGAGATCCCAGAGCAATAATGAAATCACCTCAGAGAGCAGCCTCAGCAGGCCTTTTTACTCTTACCTTACTGAGAGGAAATTGTTTCCCTTCTATTTCACACATCGCTGGCAGTGCTAAGCTTGATAGATTCTCATTTCTTTCTGTGGTGTGTGTGGCACAGAGGGTAACTGTGGCGTGTTAACCTTGGTAGGCAGCTGAGTATCAGCCACTCGCTCACTCCCCACAGCGGCATGAGAAGACAAACTGGAAAAAGTAAAAGTGAGGGAAATAGCATATTGAGGTGGTTTGAAAAGGGAAACAAACAAAGCCAAGAAAAACAAGTGATGGAAAAAAATGAACCCAGATGCTCAGCATCAGCTGACCAATCCCCATCAGCCTCCATATAATGGCAGCCTCAGCCAACTTCGCCTGCGGTTTTTATTCCTGTATGGTATGAAATACCCTTTTGGCCATTTTGGTTCAGCTCTCCTGGATCTGTCCCTTCTCAGCTCCTTGTGCCTCTCCAGAATCCTTGTAGGTCAGGCTGTGAGAATTACAGAAGGTCTTGGTGCTGCATGAGCACTGCGCTGTGACACCTGAAACATCAGCGTTGTTTTCATCACAAATCCAAAATAAAGTTGTGAGGAAAATTAACTCTGTATGGGTAAATAACATAATGTATATAGTAGTTAATGACATAAAGCAGAAGGATGGCAGCATTTGTAGAACAAAATGCAGGGTGCAGCTGGACAGTTGAATGGAGTCTGTTTCTAATGTAAATATTTCTCTCTGAATAATGGAGACAGAAATGCAAGAAACAAAGCTGGTGCAGACGTTATCTCCACTGGCTGGGAATGGTGCAGAAGTGTGCCTGAGTGCTTCGGTTAACACCTTATGTTGTGGTTACAGGTGAAATTTGAGATAGTGCAGAGGATACTGCTTAGTTTCAAATCATCTGAGCAGGTTGTTTTTCTACTTAGAAGCTTAGGATGGCAAGCCAGAGGTCTTTTAACCTACTTATTCCCACCAGCACTGTATAGAGAATTGCATGTTTTTCTTTATGTAGCCAAATCCTACCTACCTCAGTTTTATTTTGTGTGATAAGAACAGTCTGCAGGACCATGTTCAACTCAGCATTCATTGTCACCCCTAAGTCTTCCTCAGCAGAGCACTACTCAGCCAGTCAGGTCCTATCTTTCCTGACACACTAGTTATTCCACTTCACATTTGATAATCTTTTAAAGCTCTGCATTGTGTAAGATCTGTACTCTAGCTATGTTAATTAAGCCAGCAGTTTCCTCCATTATCCATTCCACTTGCTTTTGCAAAGCACCTCTTTCTTGTCTCTGCGCATCAATCTGAGAAATACTTTAAGCCTTACCACTGAAAATACTGAATTGCAGAGCCACTGCATGTTTCTTCTGCTTAAAGTCATCAATTAGCCCTGGTAAAGTCATTATTAAAACAATCAGGGGCCACTGAGTGCCTCCTCATAAAACAATTGAAATTGCACTGTTGTCCATTTGCTGACATAAAAGCGTTTCCATCTACAGTGATAACCTAATGTTGCTCTTGCTGGTGTGCGCTGATACAAAGAATTAAGTAAACTGTTGTGGGTTGTTTTTCCTAAATGACAGCTAAATGCCCTTCTCTGGGACATGTTTGTCGTTGTTTATTCCTTTGTTTTTATTATCAATTCTGAACCGCAGCCAGATGGAACTTCACATTAGAAAATGTGCGATTTAGTGTTGGCATATCTTTGAATTTTTTTGATCTTCTAAGTTGAAGTCACTGAATGCTCCTCAGTATGGCCACATGAAAATTTTCTCTGGTTATAGATTTGCTACAGACCTTCTTTGTTTGAACTGCTAATGATGGAACTGCTAATGATGGATTGTTGATGAGAGCACAGATGAATATACAAGAACATTTGCTAACTTGCTCACTCACTGCAGCATGTCTGTATTTCTGTGCGGGCAAAGAGGTGAAGAGAACTGTTATCCAACTGCTTCTATTTACTGTCTCCATATGCTGTCATTAATTAAATCAATACAGGATTATGATACTTCTATCTTTTTAGCTATTTAAAGAAACATTTGATGGCTAATTTATGATCATCAAGTTTGGTGATATTGTAAAAATCTATACTAATTGGGTTATTATACTATTGATTTTTAAAATTTACAATACTTTGTGGGTAAATCTCCTTGATTCAAGTTTGTGTGAAAAGTAGAAAGTTAGGTAGCAAAATCCTTGTTCAGGAGAACTTCTTATGGAAAACATATGGCTTCTTCACTTTTCGCTGTTCCTCTTCAGCCATAGTGATAGGTTAAAAATAAAAGGAACAAACAAAATATTTACTCCGTTTCTTAATGCTGCATGTGCTGCATCTCAGCTTGATTGCTGCTATTTGTCTGTCATGTTTGTACAAACTAATGGGCAGGAAGAGGCCAGAACAGTGAGGGAATAAGGAGCTGTGGCTCTTTGGTACCTGTTTGCAGCTATGGAAGTTGTGTGGATGTGGACAAATGAAGTACTTTCATGTCAGAATGAGGAGGAATAGTGCAGTGCTGATGCATTATACTTTTGATCTGCTTCCTTGCAATGATGTAGCTGACTCTCTTGAAAATGCATCGCAACAGTACCATCTGGCCTCTGTTTGTCATTACTTTGTCATACCCTCACCCTGTCTGCCCATCCACTCACTGCCTCATAAAACGTGACTGAAATGAATGATCCTTAACCTCATAAAAAAACGTGTGACACCTTCTGTTTCATTTGCATTTTATATGCTGTGTGATGGCTTGCTATAAGAATGTATACTGATGAAAGTTGCTTAAATTTTAAAGTATTTTAATGTAACTCTTCCATCATAGCAGGATGATACGGGGAAAATGCAGCCAAAAGAAATTATTGTTACTATGTGTACACACTGCTACATAACTAACCTCACATTCTTCTCATGCTGTGCTTTTCAAGGGTGAACCAGGCTTCATTGGTCCACAGGGAGAACCCGGGCTGCCAGGGTTACCAGGAACAAAGGTAAGGACAGTTGAACAATGCTCCAATATAAAATCCCTTGGAGTAAGTTCGATTTTGTTAGCAGAGATCGTGCTAATGCTGTAAAAATCTTTCAGCCACAAGTGAATAATTGTCGTAAGTTTAGGTTAAAATATAGTACCTACAGTACCTTGAAACTTGAAGAGTTCTATTTCGTGGATGAATGCAATGAAATACACGCCTTTGTAGTGATGCCCTCAAACAATGTAAAGGCAGATACTTTATCCATGTAAGTTTATTCATTGACTTTGTTTAATGTCAGCATCCCAAAAGTCACTTCTTCAAGAAGCAAAATATGCCTGCCAGAAGAAACTGTGTTCTCATAACTTTTTTAGAAGAAATCTTAAAAGTTTGTGCAGGCATTAGAATTTTAATAATACTTACAGACTGTAAAATACAGTGCCATTAAGCATAGGGGTTTTTTTTGTACTACATACAGGTTTTTTTAGCTGCTCTGTGGTGAAGATAGCATATTAGGAGTTCTAAAAATAATATTCATTAAGTACCATAGTTCAGGAATCTTCATTCCACTTCTTTAGGAATAGGGACAAAAATAGCTTTATAGGATCCTATATAAATCCAGAATAGAATTTCTAAATCTTACTTTTTGCAATTGAGAACACTGTGTTCCCAAATCCACTGCTAGTTGTAGATGAGCTCAGAAATGTTTTCTTTTGATGTTTTGGTTTCTTTGCCATAACTGATTAAGTTGCATGCTAAAAACTGCCCAATGTTTTGTGATATATGTGTACCTGCTTCCACAGGGTGACAGAGGAGAGGCAGGCCCTCCTGGGAAGGGTGAGCGAGGTGAAACTGGACTTCCAGGACCAAAGGTCGGTCTGATTGGAGTGTTTTGGTTAGGGGAACACGAATAACACATAATGCACCTTTTTCAGCTGAAAAAAAAAAAAAAAGAATGAGAACTGGGTCATTTTTAAAATTTGAACTTTCTGATCATTGTAGCTATTGATTGCAGAGAAAATCCATTTTGCATGCTGTTTCTCCAATCCTAATACATCTTGAAGATGCTAAGGCAGATTTTGTACTTCGCAAGCTAGTTTGTATTCCTCTGAATTACTGGGAAAAGTAGTTGTGGTAACACTTTATTTAATCTCCTTATTTAAGGATAGTTAAATGTCTTCTCTACTGTTTGACTAACATTTTTCAAGAGCAGTTCCCATAAAACGGTTTTAATGATGCTTACTCTTTACTAATGCCAATACTAATTTTCCTTTGGAAGGATGAAGTCTGTGGCCTTTGCATGCTGGTGTTAAAGAATATATTACTCTGGATGTTATTAAATTCAAGGTCTTTACAGACTCATTATCTTGATCATATAAAATCAAGTGATTTTGCTGTTCTGTAGTATGGTTAGTCATTACTAATTTCTTTTCCTCTGCGCTCCCATTCCATTATCATTTTTCTCCTCTCCATCTGCTGTCTTCCCTCAAACAGGGGAGAACAGGTGAACCTGGATCTAGAGGCCCCAAAGGGTCAAAGGTCAGTAGTAAAAAAAAAACAACAACAACAACAAAAAACCACCTGTCTTTAGTGGAGTGATTAGCACATTTATTTTACAATATGTTGTTTGTAACACTTCTCAGAAACTTCAGATATCCCTTTAAAAGAAACTGTACCAGATAATGCTGTCTTACTTATAAATGAAACATTCTGATTTTCAACTTCAGCTGCTAGAATTGAATCTTGTGTATTTCAATCACTACAACTCTATTTTCCTTTTTATTATAACATCTGTTTCAACCAGCTCTTTTTTTCCTCATCCCACTTGGTTTCCTTATATGTAACTGATGTGAGTTAGTTTTCTCACATGCCACAAACCATCTCCTGTCTATGCCTATGGAGTTTCAATTGGTTTTTCAATTATTTTGTGGAACCAAACTTGGTGGGGTAGGAATCAGTTGTATTTCAAAGACTGCCAAAAGAGAGATGCTGGCCAATAAGTCCTACATTGGCAAGTTTTGTAGATTACATTACTGTTTTACCTACTGTAACCAAAGTGGTTTGATTTTGTTTGTTTGGAGTGTTGGCTTTTTTTTTTTCTATGTCAGACCCTCCATCCATTTATCTCTATATGGATATAACGGGTTCACATGTATGTAGAGAAAGAAAATACATGCTTTTAAAAATATTTCATATACTTTGCAAATACTGTGCTCATTGGACTCCTCCGTGTTGTGTTATGTTATGTTATGTTACGTTATGTTACGTTACGTTACGTTATGTTATGTGTCAAATCAAAATTAAATCAGATTTGTTTAGGTAGTTCTTCAGTCTACTGTCAGAATAAAGGTATCAAAACAATGTTGTAGGCTAGTAGGATACTGGTTGCAGAACCTGAAAGAAAGGTCCTTAAATAACAGCCATTCACAGAGCTTAAGGTTATGATTAGGAAATTGCCCCTTCACCTCACTCATTCCTGCCAAAAAGGAAAGTTAATAAGCAAGGGAGCTGATAGGGGTATTTAATGCATCAGAGTAAGAGCAGAAGAGTAAAACAGATTCATTTGCCTCTGGTTCCTGGGCACTTCCCAAATGCACCAGAAAGATAGAGATATCTCTTTTAATTCTCATTTTACCAAAAAGGCCTAACTGTTTCTAAATTCTGGGTCAGAGAAGTCAACCTAGTAATGAAGATTGTTTTCAGCAACTCCAGTGACAGTTTCACTAGATACTGGCAAGGCAATACTGTTGATCGTGTCCTGCCACCAGCCTCCTCTCCATGTTCTTCTTTCATTATCCCTATGACTGTTTTCTATTTTATGGTTCTTTTTTTTCCCTATTACTACTGGTGAATTAACCATTCTTCCCTAACTTGTACCAATGTTATAGAGATTTCAACAGGAGTAGCAGTTCTTTGCCAAATTCATTTTGAGTAATATAAAAATTGAAGAGCTTGTTATGACTGTGAAGCAAAAAGAATTATAGTCGCTAGGTGTTGAGTTATTAAAGCAAATATGTTTGAAATTCCCTCCATCACTTGAAACACATTATTAACAGCCAGGAGAATAAAGGTGTGTGCAATATGGTTAAGATCTTAAGCCTGTCACAGTGAGGGAGTAAAGGGACTTTAGTGGTGAAAGTACCTTTGTGTCTGCAGGAGAGGTAAGAACTTGGAGCAAGGAAGTTCAGAAGCTTAGTGGAGTCACAGTCATGGAAATAAAAGTTTACACACTTTGAAACACACCTTTGAGGAAGCTACTGTTTTCAGACTTCAGACTGATTTTATTTCTCTTGTTTTTTCTTAAAGCTTTTAAAATAGTGCCATAAAGATTAGAGAAGTTGTGTTTGTTACGGAATTGGTAATCTCTTTTGTTGAGTCTTTGGTACAACTTATTCCAACCCAATACAGCACACAATAGCAACTTGTATAGAACCAAATACTTCCTTGTTAACCCTGTCACAATACAGATGTTTAAGGAATTTCTGCTGTAACTAAGGTCCACATTCTATTAATAATGAGACACCTGTTTGTTTAACTGGGTTATTTAGGAGAAGCACGTTTAAAAGAGATGAACTATCTAATATATTGTCAGATGGCATATTTGTTCTCAAATATCCCTTTTACCTAGGGTGATACAGGTGACAGAGGTGACACGGGATCTGCAGGTCCACGGGTAAGTCTATTTCTCATTTCAATCTTTATACTCTTGCATTCATTCTCTGCAATGAATCGAAATTGTGGCAGCAACTCCAATTAATGTAACGAGATTGGTCACTTGACCCTGGTGGAAAGCGTGTTACTAATTTGCCTTTAATATGAGTAACAGTCCTTACTACTATTTGACTTACTACTATTATCCTACTCACAGTTTATGGGCAGGATGCTACATGCCATGTTCAGACGTTGCCCACAGGCAGCACAAAATTACTGTATTGGAACTGCTTCAGTGTTTAGCTGCAGTGGTTTCATTTATTTGCTTTCCCACTGCAGCACAATTCACTTAGTGACTTGCTTGTTTATTGAAAAAAATATTTTAAAAATCCTTTAAATGTAGTCTTTAGTTTAATGCTAAGTTATGTGGGTGTAGTAGTACATTGGAAATACAACAAAACTTGATTAGGCTGCTTTGGCATTAAAGCATTCATCAATAAATAAGTGTCTGGAGTAGTCTTTGGCAGATGTCTCAAATATTGTTATGGAAAATGTATTACAGGGGCCACCTGGACAGAAGGGTGATCAAGGTGCTACAGAGATAATTGATTATAATGGCAATATTCATGAAGCTCTACAGGTATGTAAACTTAACAAGGCTGAAATAGTTTAGCCTGGTCTGCCAAGAAGCCATTTGACGTCATTTTCCTTCTGCATAAACCATGAGAACACTTTTTTTCCCCAAAGATTTGCTGAGTTTATTGATTAGGAATGTCTTTCTATATTTGGAAACCAGACTTGCTGTTTGGTGTGAGAAAAACTGTTTTCTTGATATAATTTAGCTGAGTGAATTAGTTGCATTTCCCACAGAGCATACTGACATCATCTAATGAGAGTAACGCTGATTCATTGCTGTGTGGGGGTTAGTGCTGAATTCATGCAATGAACCACATACGTAAGTTCAACAGAAGCATCTGCTTTTCAGTTCAACAGCTAAAATGTTGACAATTCTTTTTTCTTCTTTTCCCTTCCCCTCTTCCTATAAAATGCAAAGAGCAGAAAATTTGAGATTTGGAAACCGTAACACGTGTGGCTCCATTAGAAGGCTGTGGATTCAATCAGCAACTTGAGTATATTAAATAGACAAAGCACCAATCTTCCCATTAGTTCATTTCTAGAAACCTGTTTTGACAGGTATGCACCAAAGTATGTGGGATTAAAGTGGAGTTGCAAAAAGAATAAATGAGTGTTTGCATGAAAGCAAAGTAACAAGATGACATATGTTGTTGCAGTCAAGGTGATTTACATTGCAGTGTACTCAGATGCAAATTTTGTGCAGTACAACTCCACCAAAATGAATGGGTTTGCTTATGTGCAGCTGAAGACAGAGCTTGGCTCATTGTACATCTGACCATTTTCTCACTGAATCCAATGAACTTTTTCTGGCATTTACTCAGTGGGAGTGGATAGATGTCTGGCCAGTCATGTGCTTTTCAAGTCTCTTTTGAAAATAAAAAAACCTCACTGCCTTTAGTAAAAATCTAAAAGCGCATATGTTTTTGAAGCTAAGCCCACTCTCATTGTGAGTGGCATCTGTGGGGAAGTCTACATAGGCATGTTTTGAGGCTCTGCATTATACCCATCTCACTTGTTTCGCTCCTAAGGGAATTCAAAGACACATTTTTCAGTCTTTTAAATCAATCTCAGTGTTAGATGACTGAAGTAGCTTGGAAGTAATGTAGTATATTATCAAGCACAGATTTACCGGGGGCTTCAGCCCCAATGTTTCCTGTTTTCTGTCTTTATATCCTCACTCTGACATCAGTGCTACTTTCAAGCGCTGTGTGAGAGCACCTTAGAAAAGCTGCAGCACATAAAGAAGCCTCAATAAGGGACTAAAGCCTACTGCAGTGGTTGAAACAGATGAGGAGGCCTTTTTCCTTTTGTAAATCATTTCAAATGTCATCACCTTCTGATCCAGGGCAACAAATAATTGATATCAATGGGAATGTCTGTGCAAGGATGGTGTAAGTAAGATTATATAGGATCAGTCAACAATATCTTTGCCAAATCCAGTTCAGGCCTTTCAGATGGCAAGCACCCATTGAGAAGTCTCCTGGTGCCAAAATCTTAAAGGATTTGAGGTTTGCAGATTTCCCTTAGAGGTATGGAGCACTTTCAGCACTCAGCACCAAACTGTGACCTTACACAGAATTTGGTCTGCTGATTTAAGAAGTTGGCAAGAGTTAGAAAGATATGGGCTGTCTGCATTTCTTAGAATTTAGCAATAAATCATCAAGCAGCTCAGAAGCTTTAGGATAATATAGTTACTCTGCCTTGTACCTACTGCTCAGTTGCTCATTCAGTCAGAATGAGACATGTGAGTCCATCAGCACTGGAAATAGGGATCTTAAAATTATCATCATAGTTTGACAAAAGCCCTGCTGTGTGCATGTGGCTTTCACTTGTAGTACCAAATACAAAATGCAGCTCTATCAAAATCGCTCTTCAGGCTTGTTCCTCAGAATTTCCTAAGGCTAAAGGCAGTAGCTGCAGGAGTTTAACTTTTGTAGAGGATCAGACACTTTAGGTGTCTGAAACTGAAAACTGAATGTGCTGATGAAAATGAGCCTGTCAGCGTGATCATGCCAGCATTCATTTGCAGTGGTTATTTTATGTTTTCATGTCTATACCAACTGAATTTTTCAATTTTTAAAAATCTTTATATATTCCCATAAATACATTACAATGCAAAATATATGATTATATTAAAGTCATCTGTTAGAGAACAGTTTTCTTTATTTCTTTTTTATGTACTTCATATCTAGCAGGCTCCAATTTTCATGGCAAATGAAGATTCTTCTAGAACTTAAAAGCAGGATTTGCAAACCATCCATTTGCACATAGGAAAAGAGTTAAAAGCTAAATACTTCTCTTTCCATATATGCCAGGAGGTTCTTCATATTTAATAGAAAAGCAAAGAGAGGCATCAGGATTCAAGATGTTTATTTTCTTTAAAAACATAGACAAGCATTTTGATTACTTTCAAACACTTTTTCACTTGCTTTTAGATTCTTATTTGTAAATATATATATATATATATGTATTAGCAGATCAAGCTAAAAATAATAGAAGAATTCATAATAATTAATAAAAGAAGCCTCTTGTCTTTCCAGACATTTAAAGCAGAATTCGAAGTACTTATCAGTGTTTTTGTGGATTAGCACTTTCAGATTTAGAACCTAACTTTATTTTTGTGCATCTTATTTTCCATACAAAAAAAAAAGTTACACTTCTACTGTAGGAATTGTATTTTTTTAGTTAAACCTTGGTGCAAAACTTGCAGAGATCCCAGAACAGTGGGCAAGTCTTTTTTAATTATCCTGAGAGACCAATTCATCCCATTTTTCTTAGTTTCTAAAAATCTTTTGGAAGACTTTTACTGTGATTTTACTGTTTAATCATCACCTACTCAATCACTTGAAATTTACAAGAAACTACAGTCTTCACCTATGTAAAATCCTGATTGCCCTAGAAGCCAAACTGTGCAACACTGGGAGTTAAGAATAACAGTCCTTTCTCTCTTATTTTTTGGAGATGTGGGATCTCCCTAGATGCAGTATAGGTTTTGTGGAGATACTAATTTTTACAAGCAGAATAATTTATATCCTTGTTCAGTTTGGTAATGTTGTCTCTTGTTAATACATTTTGCCAACAGAGGATTGCCACCCTCACTGTCACGGTAATTCCAATTGCATGATTTGCTTTGTGTTGTAGATTGTCTCTTTTATGTCATAACATGTTTGTCATTCTGCCAGTTCAGGACATGCCTTCCTTGAGTGCTGACCCAGCTCACCATCCTATGTACTTACTTGCTCATTGCTCCCTTACCAGAGAGTTTGTTGTCAAAAGTCCTGTAATAGTGGAGCCAGTTCTGCTCCTGATGAATTAATGGCAAAACTTCCATTAATTTAAGAGATCTGGAAAATAAAGAATACAGTTTTTCTGTAGGTACATATTTAGGCAGATTAGCTGCTTCGGACTTCTTGGCATTCATTCTCATCTGCATGTGTCTGCACAGGAGTCCAGAAACAGGAAAGATGGGTTTTTAGTACCTAATGATTTTCAGATATCCACCTTATTTTCAGGGCAGAAGGATGGCTCTTTTACATTGGTTTACAAAGAAACTTCATGTGAGAGTATTCTGGAAAAGGCGCATCTTAGTTAACTGTAAGTCAGGATAAGTACAGAGCCTCAAGTACAATTCACTTGACCTACCTTATCAGACCTCAGAAAAAAAATACCAATTTTTCAGCACCTATCCCCAGCATGTGCAGAGGATTGTAAGTTCCCATGCCCTGTACTCCAGCCAATTCCCATGATACAACATCAGAACTATCATAATCTCTGACATTGACAGCTAGGAGATGTTTATAACATTGCTAGATCGGCCTTCTCTTAAAGCAACAAGCTGGGTATAAGCAAATTATTTTATTCTTCTCTTTGTTTTGAGTCATTCTCTGTAGATTTCTGTCACTCATTATCCTCTCATTAATGGAGAGGATTTCTTTTTTCTTTTTATTTATTAAAACAAACCCAAACCTACTGTACGACACCTAATTCAATATTTTGTTCCTGAAATTATATCTGCATCCTTAGGTAGAAGCAAAAGGAGTAGTTGCAACTTACTCCCTAACAATTTCCTGAAGCACTGAGCATCCCCAAAGACACTTAGCATCTTTCAGCAGAATCCTCTTCTCACCTTGGAGTGCTTTAGATTAGGATGTGGCTGAGGTGAACTTTGGTGTCTCCCTGCCATTAACAGAAGCTTTGCCATTTTATCAGTGGGAGCAGCAGGACTTTCTTATAGAAGAGGAAATGCACTGCTGTTTTAACATTGTTTTTACTGGTACCCATCTGTTTGCTGAGAGTTGTCATAGATAAACAACTTGTTCATGTCTGATCTTGGTTCCCTTTGTGCCACACATCTAACTCATATTGTTCAGGTACCTATCTTAATATTCGACCTGCATTTACACAGCAAGTCCTGCAGGAATTTCTTTTAAAACTTTGTGTGTGTTTCTTTTTAGGGACCACCGGGACCACCGGGACCCCAAGGGCTGCAAGGTCCAAAGGTGATCTTCCTTATTTTGCCCACTATGTTTTAGGAGTTGAGATATTTTCTAGTTTTCTAACTGCACATTTTGTATCTGGAGCTCTCCCATACAGTATGTTTACCTGAAATTCTATTGAGTACAGCATGCTTCCAACTTTGCGCTCTGGCAATTTGAAATGTAGCTTCCTAGAAATAGTACTTTGATTTTGTGCCATGCACGATGCTCAGTTGAGAGCTGGCAAAATTAACTGGTACAAAACCAGCATGGAAGCATCTTCCTCATGGATCTACACTGAGGCTGATCCCTAGGATTTCTGCTGCAGAGAGCGATCTGTGTGTTTGCACAGTAGCTGCACCAGCAGACAGTTGTTTCTGTGCATTGCTTCTGGCTGCGTGGGAAGCAGTCTGAATTTGGCCACAGAGCAAGCGCATGTCAACGCAGCTTCTGTATTGCAGTAGTGCCCACCCAACGAAGCACAATATTTTCTAATCTCTGTAAAAATTATAACGTGCACGTGTGGGCAGCATCCTGTCTGCAAATCCAGAGCTGCTAACCCCACCTGTTGGGGTTGTGCACAGTACCAGAGCTATTAGTGAGCAGCCCACACAGAGACAATGAATACCATATGCTGCGCTGTTCCATAAAATTTAATAAATTTGCCTATTCTTAAGAAAACAGAAAGTGTTGCTTGTAGTGCAATACTTATATTGGTTTTAAATTAGTTGAGATAATTCTCCTACTTCTTAAATATTGAACATATCATATCTTCTGCCAGTGTCACTAAGCTCTTCCAAGAGTAGATAATTGTTTCTTCAAAAACAGTATTAAGCATTTGAATTTCAGGCTTCATCTGTGATATCATGTGGCAGTTCATCCCATTTAACATGTTAATTGTTTTCAGAAATTGTAAACTATCGAATTTCTTCTATATGAAAACCGATAATGGAACACACAGTTAAGCATGCAAGAATTTCCACATTAGGTTCTACTCAGCACAAGGATTTCTGCAGCCAAGAGTATGTTGTAAAACACAGAGGAGTTGATGTCTTCCGTCATCTGGTTGTTCGTTTCTGTTCAAAACTAATGACATAAAGCAGAATTCAACCTTACAAAAGTTTGTTGTCAATATCATAATCTATCCCCATCTTGCTCCCTTGGGGAATGCTATACGGGGATCAGTGCGTAGGGCAATGCAGTGAATGTGAACTCCTTCCCTGGTGATTTATGTTTGTTGGGAAAGAAAACATGAGGTCTCTGTCAACCCTACATATATCAGGGGCCATGATTCCATATTTATTCCAGTAACGAACAAAGTTCCCACTTTCTTCCCCAACCTTTTGGGGTTTCTTCTTCTTTTCTTTCTTTCTCTTACTTTTTTGCTTATCTTTATGCAACTCAAAGTTTATGAATTTTGAAACAGCTCTTTGGCTGAGCTGTTTGTTCAGTATTGTGTACAAGTATTGTATGTATATACAATGTATACCAAGAGTGTTCTCTGGTTTTGTTGTTGCTAATTATTAATTACAGACGTTACTGACCAGTTTAATAAATTTAGTACTGCTTTTTCCATGAATGTCTTGAATAATTAGAAGATAATAATCCAATTCCATCTTACCTTTTGCAGGGTGAACCAGGATCCCCAGGAATTCCTGGAGTTGATGGGGAACAGGTAATCCACCTAGTGCAGATTGTATGAACAACCATGCATCATTCCAAAGGATATTTCTGTGATCTCAAGTTGCAGCTTAGATTTGTTATCCATATGATCACTATTGTGTTCCTGTGGCCACATGATGGCTGTGATTCTACATGTTAATAATGAAGGTCAATCCATAGCATGACTTATTCTGCTTGTTAGGATCAAAGCTAGTATTTTGTTCCTACAGACAACTTGCTAAATAAATAAATACATATTTTAGGGTCCTAAAGGACTAAAAGGAGATATGGGTGAACCTGGAATGCATGGAGAAAAGGGAGGAATTGGACTACCTGGATTGCCAGTGAGTATGAACTAATTTTGGCTTAAATAAGTATATTTTTAATCTCTCCCTCTATCAGGAATTTCCAGCAGTGCTGGAAACACATTACATTATAAACACATTATCATTCCTAGATGGATTGCTAATGAGATCTAAACTATTAATAAATGCTTCTTTTTAATGATTTTATAGGGAGCCAATGGCATGAAAGGTGAAAAAGGAGATGCTGGTTTGCCTGGTGCCCAAGGCCCTTCAGTAAGTCTCAGTGTGTTGTTGCAGTGGACGTAGTAGTACAGCAATAGTGTTTCAGCTTTTAGTTCTGAGGAACAGTTCATATTCACAGCTTATCTTTCCAGACATTCTTGATGATTTCTCTGCTTGAACTTTCACAGTATTTTGATTCATAATTTAGCTGTAGTCCATGGCCTTTTGAAAATTAAAGGACTTAAATATTTACCTTAAACAGCTAAATGCTGTTGAAGAAATGCTACAGATTTAGTTATTTTCACTTCTATTCCTTTGTCATAACAGTCCTACTGAGTTCTGGCTCTCTAAACTATCAGAAATAAATGCTGTGCAAAATAATAGTAAGAGATAAAATCAACAAAAGCAACCATAATCAGATTTATTTCAACACTTGTATTGTGGTGATCTATGAAAGTCCAGTGAGAAGCAGACTAGACTGGCTTCAGTGATGTCAGGAATCACAGAATCATAGGGATTGGAGGGGATCTCAATATATCATTGAGTGCAAACCCCTGCTAAAGCAGGTTGCTACAGGTCACACAGGTAGGCAACCAGATGGGTCTTGAATATCTCCAGAGAAGGAGACTCTATAACCTCTCTGAGCAACTGTGCCAGTGCTCTGTCAATCTCACAGTGAAGAAGTTCTTCCTTCTGTTAGTATGGAACTTCCCATCATCCAGTTTCTGCCCAATTCCCCTTTTGTGACACAAGATAAAGACTTTCTTGATATAAAATAATTGGGGGAGAAAGTTCCAGTCTTGTGTATATTTGTGCTTAATTTTCTACATAAACCCTGCATAATTTTCTGCATAATTTTGATGGAATTAATACACAAATGAAAATGTATTGTTGCTCTGTACTTGTCCACTTGTAAATAATATTATCCACATATGAAAGCTTTTCAGGGCCAGACATCTTCCCGACTTTCAAAGCATTGTAAAATCATTAAAAAAAAACAAACAAACAAAAAAAAACCACAGCAATAACTTTTTTAAAGGATGACTAATGTTATCATTAAGCTACCCGCCTTGTTTATGGTGACATGCACTGGGTATTTGGTACACAAGCTCTGAGAAATGAAAGAAGTTTGTCATCACAGGGCACTGGGCATTTACTGTCTCTTCAGTGTATGAGTGTTTTGTTGCGTTTGTTAATTTGTCACAAATCGATTTGCTAACTCATTCACCTTGCTCTGCTTGACTTCTCTTAAAAAAAAGGCTTTCCATTTTCAGAAGACTTCACAGATGGTGGATTGATCTCTCCATGTCTGAAAGCTTGTTTTGTTCTCACTAGTGTCACCACCAACGGTCTGTGTTGGTGAGGGGCTGAGTATCAGTTTGGAGACATGAATTAGCATCCTCACTGCCACCATGCAGGCTACAGTAGAGACCCTTTGGGGTTAAACCCTGGGAAAGAGGTGACGCTGAATTGTAAATATCATCATGACATTCTCTTTTATGGATTCATTAAGAATACAGAAAACCAGCACAAAATAAGCATGAGCTACATGCCTGAGCAACCTGATCACCTCTGTTAATGACTTCAGGGAATTCTTGGTACAAGTGGGCTAAGCGGAATAAAAGGAGAGAAAAAGGGTAGTCTTGAAAAAGTGTGAGTTATTTACTATCTTTTATCTATTCATCGTTACTGGGAAGGAATTGCACAGCATCTTCAGCATCTTCTGCTCTTGTAGGTTACATAGTACAGAGACTGCTAAGGAGCATATATATAAAAGTTTGAGCGCATCTTTTCAGTACTACTTATTTTAGATTTTTTTTTTTTTTTTTTTTTTTTTTTCTCCATGCTGTTTTAAAGTGTATGAGTCTAGGAGCAAGAATCGGAGACGGGCATGTTGCCATATGGCACAAGCAATTCACTTCAGGCACACTTCAGGCACCCCGTCTTCCAAGTTACAGTAATTCCCATTTCTAAAACCGTTTTCTAGATATGCTGTCATGGTGTACCATTGCAATGCTACGTTTATAAGTGCTTGCTTGCCAGCAGAAGAAGGATCAATCTGAGTTTTGGTATTTGTGGGGAATTTCTTCACTGTGTACGATTTAATCTCGTTTTTTTTTTTATCCATAGATCATAGGACCTCCTGGACCTCCAGGGCCACATGGTCCTCCGGGCCCTATGGTAAGCTTCGGACAAAGAGAACAGATTGGGAAGTGCTTGAACCCACTTATTTTAATATCTGATTAATAGAATTCTGTGAGAGCATATAACAATTAGAGGGGGGCCTAATTTAGGACCTTTAAGTACGTTGGAAGTGAGAAACAAATTGAACCTGCCTATGCTGGTGTAAACATGTTACTGGTCTGGTTTATTCTCTAAATCAGGTGTTTACAGTTGCTTTATTGGCAGCTGCATTTCATTTGCAAGAATAAAAGAACAGATGTAACTTTCACCCATACAGAGCACCAAGCTCTTTTAAAAACTCATAGCATATTTTTGTAATTGAGCACGGTATCTTTATTTTCAGGGACCTCATGGCTTGCCTGGCCCAAAGGTAAATTAATGGCTGTCTCAAATAGTCATGTTCTTGATGTCTGTGAAGTGTCATTCTTTGTTCTTTAATGCATGCAGCTATGTTTTGTTTGATGTCTCATTCAGTAAATATTTCTGATATTCTTAAACCTTAAAGCAAATCTTAATACTGATAGATAGCTTAAAAGATCTTAATTTTTCTGTGATTGCATCTGGTTAGTATTTCTCCTGAGCATTGGCTGAATCCATTTTTTGTATTGAGATAATGTGCTATGGCACTAAATTATTCTGTTTCCTGGTGTTGGGCAAGTTACCACTTCTGTTGCAATTCTGAACATACAAGTGGCATATACTCAGGAGATGAAGTCAGAGAAACTCCTCTTCCTTTATGCTCTCTTGCCTCTCCTACTTCTTCCAGTATGAGTGGCCTCTCACTTTCTTTGGCACCATATCCTCTGATGACCTGCACCATCATGCACCAGTTCGTCAGGTTCCCTGCCACAATATTTTCATGTTTTTCAATCCCATTCCTTGATGAGGCAGATTTTCTGAGCGTCTTCTGCAGTGCGGTACGTGAAGATGCACAGCAGGGACTCTATCAACATTAATGGTGCTGGTGCTGCTATCAGGAATGAGTCTTTTAATCGTCACAGCTGCCCAGTCGCATGCACCTTTCTAAAAGAAATACAAGATGAGGAGTTCTTTCATTTAGCCTTTGGTGTGGCTTGTTTTAAGTTGCGAGAAAATCTTTACAGGTTTGACATATTATAAGACTATTTGTGTCACCTTGGCAGAAGAATCTGCAGTCATTGATCATTTTTTGAAGTCAGGTCTGTTCCATTTACATACCAAACCTGTCTTACTTCAGACTTTTGGCCTAACACCCGGGCTTTTGTGAAACTTCTCAGGTCTGTTTCCAAAACTTCAGCATTTTCAGTGCTACTGCTCTGAAAGTCACACTGAGTCAAATGGAAGAAAAATGAAGAAATGAGTGCCAAGGGGGCACAGCTGTCTGGTGTTACTTAAGGTAGCAGACTAGATCTCATTCTGAATTTTATTTTAAATGTATATGGTATAAAGTAGCATAATACATCAAAGGCTGGCCTAGGAACAAGGCCATGGGGAACAGCCTGGATGAAAAACACACACATTTCTGTTTCCCAGAAGAGGCAGGCACAGTCATTACCTTTTTTGACTGGGTAGCCCTCGTGCTGGGGCAGATTTTTGTGATGTGAGAATGATTTATAGGAAATTGCAAGTCCACCGTTATCCTCTTAGTAGCGTTTAATGTAATAACCTATGCATAATTTAACACTCACAACAAGACTGGTGCCATTTCTTATGTTGTTTAAGCCTCTCTGTATGAACACAGAAACTATGGACCTCCAGAACAGCTTGACGCTGTATAATGTATACTGCTGCTTTCAATTTGCTTGAGCTTAATTATATATGCTTAAAGGTTTAAAATATCTTCAAATGAGATTTTGGTGCAAATTCCAGTTTGCCATAGGGAAAAATATTGATTCCTTCCAAAACAGGAGATCCGACTGTAGGAGACTTTTGATTTGAGGCTTGACTTTCAGGAAGTTTTCTTTCTATTTGAATCATCTGTAGAGAGTAGGCTATGGGATTTGAGGAAATCCTCAAAAGCCCTGAATTGTGTGTTTAATTCCAACTACCTAAATAAGGTGATAATTATTGAGAATCTGTTGCTCAGAAGTTTCCAGTATTTTCTCACAGACATCAGTCTGCATCAGGTATCTCCCAAATACTTTTTCTCAGGTCTGTATCTGTAGGCTGAGAAGGCTGAATGTGAGTCCCTGCTTTAAACTGGAATTTGCAGCCATTTCTGTGGCTGGCTTTTTCTATCCCAGCTTAAGCACCCATTATAGCACCAAAAATTTGGCATTTATACTTTTACATTTAGGGTGAACCAGGGTTAAATGGTCTTAAAGGATTGAAGGGTGAACAAGGTCAAAAGGGTGACAGAGGGCCCCTTGGTCTTCCAGTAAGTAAAAAATCCCAAATCTATTCAATTTCAGTGCAAATTGCAAACTTCTCTTTCTGCTTACAATGAACAACACTGGTTTGCTCAACAGCATGTATAGAATAAGCCATGGTAGAGCCAAGCATCAGCCTGTTTTTGTTTGTCCAAGTCATGCTCTGTAACACCCAGTGCTGTCAGGTTTTTTGTTACGTGTCAGTTGAAAGCATTCAGTGTTGTGAGGATGCCATCAACCCCACTACATTCATCATTTTGTTATTTCAGTGTTGTATGGTGTTTGTGTTAAAAAGGGCATCTCCTTCTTCCCCACACCTTCATTTATTCTTCCTCTGTGAAACGGAGAGGTCTAACTGAGCAAAGTTAAAAAATTGGCTTAGGGGTTAGAATTTTCTAATTATTTTTCTAGAAGATGGCTCTTCAACACTACTATATTACTTTTTTTCCCTCCCTTTTTATTATGATTATTTTTTTCTTTTTTTTCTTTTTTTTTTTTTAATTGGCCCATGTTATTCCCGGTGCCCCAGGTAGACATGCATGCTCCGCTAATCCCAGCCTAGCGGCCCATTCTCCTGCTATTCGCAGGTGACCCAGCAGAGGTCCTCCCGTCCCCAAGGATGCCGACCCGGCGGTGCCGCAGCCCCAGGCGGAGCGGGGAGCGGAGTGGGAAAACAGGAATCGTGTTTGTTCCCTGGGCGGCGCGTCCTGGGAATGAATGGGGCCATTGTAGGGTCCAGGCTTTGTTAGCTGCATAATGCGCTTAAATACTTCTTATCTCTCTTAGCATACGCTGTTGTATTTTGCTTTGTGTAGTAGGGTATTCAGTATTGTCCTTATTTACAAATTAGAAAGCAAGCAAGTAAATGACAAATTAAATATTTGCTTGCTAAGGCTAAAAACACCCCAACTTCTGGCGTTTGGAGTAACTGTGTAGCTTCGTTTTTTTTCTGGGCAAATGTGCTGTGGTGGGAAGGCAGGGGTGGGTCAGTGGTCCAGTGCTAATGTCAGAACTGATGCGGGCTCTTGATGTTTCATGTGAATTTTTAACTAACATGCTGTAGTAATGTGATACCCGTCCCAGAACCCTGTCACAATTCGTATTGTACATTTGAATTATGTTTCTTCATCAGCACCACTTACTAATCTCACGTTCTTGTCACCCGTGTCGTACCCATCATCCATGCTTCCACCTAACCACACAGGGAGCATCTGGCTTAGACGGAAAGCCAGGACCCCGGGTGAGTCCCTTGTCTTTCCATGTCACTGTGTTACCCAGGCTGTGCACGGCCTGGAGGAATGAAGGCCAGGCATCGTGGCATCTTCCATGCTTTGTCAAGCAGCCTCCTAGGGCAATGTGTTGGGGAAAGAGAACAAGATTCATAGCAACAAGAAGCTCCGAGCCTTAGAAAAGTTGATACTCGATTAGATAACTGCTGCACAGCCTGCACTGGTTGGGGTTTTGCTTACCTGAGCAAGGTTAGGGATTTGCTTTTCATAGGAAAGCATACTTGTTTTGTGCTAATATGGAAACAGTGAAATGGAATCAGGTGTGCTGGGCTTCTACTGGAAGCATTGTTATATTTAAAATACGTTCTAGATTCCTTATTTCTTAGTTAATTAATGAAGTATGGATCATCATGACGGGGTGTGTCCACCCATAAAGTGGACATTTCAGATTTAATAAAAACAAACAAAAAAAAACCAACAATGTTTAAAAGCAAGCATTATTTGAACCTTCAGCTGCTACTAGCCGCAACAACTTTCAATAGCTTTTAAAAATCTTTGTACAACTTCCATAAAGAAATTCTAATCCAACTAGAAAAAAGATGAGCTACTTTGTAACATGAGGGCTTATAGGTTGAGTTTTGAAAGCCAGATTTGCTTGCCCAGGTCCCAGCACAATTAAATCTGCATTTTCATCTGGTGATGGCTGATTCCATATTAGCTTTTGGCTAGAAGACAGCTACTAAAGCTAAAGACTTGAAGGAACTGGACCTCCCTCTTACCCTCTTGGCTTCTCTTCGCAGGGTATAGATGGCCCAATTGGTCCCCATGGCCCTGCAGGCCCTAAAGGAGACAGAGTAAGTATACATTCTGTGTGCTTTTCTTTATGAAGACAGTGCCACAATTGCACTGTCACGTGGCTACTGCAGCATGCCTAGATGTTACTAAGCCAAACAATATCTCATCTGTGTAAGGATCAACCCAGAACTGCATTCAAGTTACGTGCACGTTTATGTTTGATTTTGTAAGTCATTAACTTTAGAACTGGTATTTTGTAATTACTAATCAGTGAAGACCTTATAGGAGTGTCATATTTACAGTGTTACATGGGACATAATTTTGCTTAATTTCACTGATTAGTGTAAATAGTTTGAGAGAATAAATCAGATGATAAGAGTGATCTGGGCATACAAATATGCAAAAGCAAAAAAAAAAAAAGCATATCATGCAGTTATTTGCATTACATTTTTTATCTTGAAAAACACTAACTTCTATAAATCTAAAACTTTCTTCTTTTTCTTAAGCACAGAAAATAGGAACCCTTCTATTTAATTTGAAATATTCACAGTGAATTTTCTCCAAGGAGAAGAGGGTAGGGCTGTTAATCTTTAATGATGAGTCTGTCATCTTTAACAATCCTACTATGAACTTGTACAACAACAAAGCATAAGTGACACATTACACTAAAACCTCCACAGAGATGCTAGCCCAGAATTATGTCTCTTTGAATTTCTCAGTTTAACAAAACAGCTGTGTTGAAACGGCTTCAGACTTGCTGCATTAGGGACATGGCCATATGGCTTAGGTCCAGTTAGCTCAAACAGCAGTACATCAAAGGTATGCATGACTCAAGCATTCATTTCTACAGAGCTGTTTGTTGGGGAATAAATACAGGACGTGAAGCATGGTTCCAAAATAGGAACAGTGTCTTGTAGCAGGCTCATTAATGGTTAGTCTTAGAGCGTGAGTCTTTTCCCTTTTTTTCCTTTGGGGATTACAGATTCAAGTCTTTTTGCAATTAAAACAACTTTTTTTCCTATCAACTCTGTGGAAAGATGGTGAAATGTCATATTCTGCATTTCCAAAAATAATTTAGATGAGAGATACATTTAGAAATAAATAGAGATACCATATTCACAGATTATGAACTTCAGTTGTGAAGGTTGTTCCAACACCTGAAATTTCCATTAAAAACAAAGTGCTATGATATCAACTATTCTTCTAATGTATGGAAAATGACTACAATTGTTCTTCCTTATGCAATTCTCCAAGGTCATAATAAATCATACAGCTGGATCTAGAATTAGCCCTTTCATGGCTGTTGACAAGAAGTAGTTACAAAGGAGATGGGAGCTGCTGAGATGTAGATCAGTTCAATAATTCCATTTGCGTGCAGAGACTGATTTACAAAAAATACTGTAACTAAGATTGGCATACCCACTATTCTCTATGTAGCCAAAATGAATGGAATTCATCAGAAAGATGGATTTATTTTTCCAAGCAGACATCTAGTCTCATTATTGCTTGTAATCTGTTATTTAATAATTTAATGTTGGTTGGAAAGAGGATGTGTGTATGTAATGGTCATCTGATAGGTGCCTGAGCTTGATAAATGTCTTGTTATCTAAATAACAAATGATGTATTTTTAACACAGTCTCATAACCTGCACTTGCAGCTGTTGAACCTGTTTATGTGAAAGCAGGATGAAAACATGTTTTGACTGCAGATTTCAGATTGCACCTTTTAATTAATAATAGTGCACAAAGCCCCCACTCTGCCACTGGACAGGATCACCTGTTTCCCTGATGATAAGAAAAACCTTGGGATAATTTTAGCCTAGAAGGGCACTAAGGAACACTAATGTGAAACAGCTACATTATTTTAAGTTTGGAAAGGTAATCTCACTTTAAGAGACTACTTGCAAAATGCTGGTTGCTATTCATTTATGACTACTTAAAAATTAAGGAAATGAAGGACAATCAAACAAAAGCCTTATGGTGTCGTATGTAGAAAGCACGGCTTCATTGTTACATAGGCAACATTTGAGGCAATGATGAATTGCTCTTCTTAGGTAGAACGGACATGTACTTGGCTAGTTTCAAACTTAACTATTTAATTGAAATAGAAAATGTCAGACAGTCCTTTATAAAAAACTTATTTAGATGATGTAAAAGTAGAATAGGGATACACTGCAAGTCACTAGAAAAAAGGAAAATAAATATTAGAATAATTGTGCTGTTAACTCACTGCTTAGCCATGTAATTTTTTCTCTTCGCTTTAAGCTGTTATAGAAAGTGAACATAGAATCATATCATCTTAGAACCATAGAATGGCCTGGGTTGAAAAGAACCACAATGATCATCTAGTTTCAGTCCCCCTGCTGTGTGCAGCGTCACCAGCCACCAGACCAGGCTGCCCAGAGCCACATCCAGCCTGGCCTTGAATGCTTCCAGGGATGGGGCATCCACAACCTCCTTGGGCAGCCTGCTGCAGTGCGTCACTCAGGGATGATGCTGGTGAATGTTTCAGTGCTGAGTTTGTGTATTTCTCTTGGTAGAAGGAAAAACGGCAATTAATAGAATGAGAAACCAATTACGCAGTCTTATGTAATCCATAGCTCATATTCACCTGTGATTCAGGTGACTAAACTGAAATAGGAGGTAAAAAAGCAAGTCAGCAGGTTTTGTTCTCTGGGTGCTGATGAGTCCAGAGGAGGACTGCTGAGATGATCAGAGGGCTGGAGCACCTCTCCTATGAAGAAAGGCTGGGGGAACTGGGCTTGTTTAGCTTGCAGAAGAGAAGGCTCTGGGAAGACCTTTCTGTGACCTTCCAGTACTTGAAGGGAGCATATAAACAGGAGGGGGAACAGCTGTTTATGAGGATGGATAGTAATAAGACAAGGGGGAATGGTTTTAAACGGGGGAGGGGGGGGTTAAGTTAGATATGAGGAGGAAGTTTTTCACCCAGAGGGTGGTGAGGCACTGGAACAGGTTGCCCAAGGAGGTTGTGGATGCCCCATCCCTGGAGGCATTAAAGGCCAGGCTGGATGTGGCTCTGGGCAGCCTGGTCTGGTGGTTGGCCACCCTGCACATAGCAGGGGGTTGAAACTAGATGATCATTGTGGTCCTTTTCAACCCAGGCCATGCTATGAATTCTCTTTCAAGAAACAATCTTAAAACCATTTCTGAACTTGGCAAATATCTGTTTCCCCAAAGGGAAAACTTTCTCATGATTGCTTAGGGCAGCATGCCTGTGACAATTCATCAATCTTATATAATCCATAAGCGTTCAGGACCTCATCTGATATTCCAAACACATCTCAGCATGTGCTTTGGATTGGAGGCAAAAATTGTGAGATACAGTTCTCTGAATATATTCTTACATAACAGATGCGATTATTTCCCTAGACTGATATGCTAAGTGTTCAGTATTTTTATGTCTACCATATGTTTAGGCTGTCTTGTGGGGACTTTGTACAGTCATCTTTGCTGTTTGAGATTGGAAAAAAGAAAGATACTTAACTAGTCTTGACGTGCTGTAAGTATCTATCGAACAATTTTGTAGCTGCTATATAGATAGGTCAGCACATTAGTTTCTTCTCAGCAAAAAGTTTTAAAGCTGCAGGGGATTTACTGCTTTGTAAATGAACTGTTGCTTCCCAGTGACTCCTATTGCTTTGCCACGGTATCCAGCCTCAGCAGTGCACAGAATGGGCTGAAGATTTACAGAACAAAGAAAGATTGGGCATTACACATTTGAACTTCTCTACACTGCGATGCAGACAGACAGCATCAGTCACCATAAAAATGTGAAGTATCTAAAACAATCAAATGTCAGTTTCTCTGACAAACTCCTTGTTGCTGTGATTATTCAGCAGCAGGCTCAGACTCTTAGTTTATCCTCGTGCCTAATGTTTTGTATTATCCTGTCAAGGCAATCTAGCCTTAGCCATGCTCTTTTAGAGCTGGGCTAAGGGACTTGGTTGTGCAGGTGCACTACACTGTTAATTAGGCATATGTATACATAATTGCCCTGTGCTTTTAATAACGAAGAATGATGTATTAATACTAAATAATGAATTAGAACCAAGGGTGCACAGGTTAATGCTTACCAGCTCAACAAGTTTTGCTCCATCGTCAATCTTGATGATCTGCTGGAGAGCACAGATGATGGTACTGGCATTCTGAAATCAGTCATCTGGAAATTTCATTTCATTTGGAAAAATTTGCTCTGTATTGTACTACAAAATGAGTTTTCATAGCATCCCTCTAGATGCTTCTTCTATGGATTTTAGTGTGGAATTAGATCAGGGTTCTGGAGGAGTTCCTTTATTTTTTTTTGCTGCACAGCAGTGGACTCAATATAATAAAGCAGAGTATACACATCATAGAGTCCAGTAGAGCAGCTAACAACATGGTACAGTACATAGGATAATCCCAGCAGTGTCACTAGGAATAGATTGCCCGCTTAAATGCAACCTTTGATTGACATATTATTTTTGCCTGCCAACTTGCCACATCTCAGCTGCTGTGTTGGAGCTTTTGCTGAGTGCAGTGTTGCAACTCTTACAGGCTTGATATTGAAATCAGTGCAAATTCAGTTTGAAAAGTATTTTCAGTCACTACGTTGTTTGAAAATAAGTATCCTATGCACAGAAAGTTACTTTGCCTGGAATGTAATACATGTTTCCTCCCCACTCCTGGATCATTTAACAAAGATAACAGAGCTTGGATATTTTTTGCTCTGAAGATTTAGGAGCTTGTAAGTTTTAAGGTAAAGAAAGCACTTCATAGACATTGTTTAAGCCAGACAATGTTTTTGTTTGTTCTGTATTCTGTTCTTAGGGTGAAAAGGGAACTGTAGGTGACCCTGGACCCAGAGGACCCTATGGCTTGCCTGTAAGTTGCAAGTAGTTTGTACCTGTTGTGCTTTTCAGCACTCCTTGATTAACCTGTGTGCTCTGTGACCGCTTTTGACCTAGCGATACAACTGGTTGGAAAAGGAAAAACTAGATAATAATCCCTGACAATGCAAGGTCACTGACTGGTGCCACAGAGATAGGTTCCTGCTCATGCCTGTGGTTATGTAAAAGTAAAGAAACAAGACCCACCATTAAGCAGCAAGTGAGAGGAAATCGAGAATTCAGGTGCTCCTGTTCTTGCAGCTTGCAATCTGGGCTGCCAGAGGATGAAACAGCAGGACTTCAGGACGAAAGCTCTGATTTCTGGAATCAGAGTCAATAAAGTGTTCGTATTTCCTTGCTGCGAGGCTACTTTGCTATATTATTTTGTTTGACGCTACAGAGACATCAGTTTTAATGCTGTGCATTGTGCTCAGAAGTACTTTGAGGAAGAAGTTTGTTGTTGATCGTTCCTGGGTGGAGATGGTATGTGTTAAACCCAACGTGTAAAAGATATTGGCCAGTCCTAAAATATGAGTGAGAACTTCCTTTGCCTGGATGAGTGTAACCCTACTGAAAGGAATCACTTAGTTTGCTGATGGTCGGGTGTGCACATGTGTTTGTCTAACTAGTACACTGACACAAGGAAAGCTGTGCCACTGTGCTGCTTCCAAGCAGAACCAGCCTCTCTGAGAGCTTGCAGCACCTCCATATCCTCTTCAGCCTAATCTATTTGGGCCAAAATTAATTTAGGTGCAATACAGGCTTGGGGTTTAATTGGATGCATTTAATTGGATCAGCAGTCAACGAGAAGAGACAGTTTCAGACTCTGTGGAACGCTGGATTAGCTTGCAGCACACTCTTACGGGAGGATCATTTTTTGTGAGTTAATTAAAAAAAAAAAAGGCATTTTCAGTTTCCCCTTGTGATCTATTTTTAGCCAGCTTCTGGAGCCTGCCTACAACCCACAGCACCATTTTACAGTCAAGTTATCAGTTTCTGGAAATGTTAAACACTGACTGCCACATCCTTCCCTAATGGCAGTGCTGTGTGTTCGCTCTGAGCTGTGCTGCCGCAGCTGCAGGAGCAAATACAGTGCTGGGCATGGAGTTGGCCTTGGGTAGCCAAGCTTAGGGACACTAACAGAGCTTATGTGGTTCTTTGGCAGGGCAAGGATGGCGAGCCTGGCCTTGATGTAAGTAATATGAATGAACAATGCCTCACAATGGTAGGTAAGCGTCTTGCAAGAAACAGCTTACTGATAAACACGTTTGTTTCCATTTAGTGTGCATGCAGTACCTACAAAGAGTGCACTAAATGCTGCATTTGCTGTTTTCCTATGATAAAGAAAACCAAGGCTATGCAATGTATAGCCCTTGCCTGCAGACCTCGCCAGAAGTAATGCTTAGGAATAAGAGTAGTTGCTCCTTTGGAAGTCAAAATACTTCCACAGTCAAACCTCACTTGGCTCACTTGGAGCAGAGCAAGGCGTTGCTAACATTTGATCAAGTAAATTTATCACTAAATAGAGGCAATTATTCCATAACTTCCAAGTGATGCATTTAAAATTTTAGACCCTTTTTCTGGCACACTAAATAAGGCTTGCTGAAAGCTTTTGCCTCTCGTCCATGGAAATCCCTAACTTGGAGGAGTATTCTCCATAAACCCACAAGTAGGTGACAAAGCATGAACCGTTTTGAGTGATCTGATTCCTTTCCCTTACTGGGAAAATGATGTGCCAGACACCATGGACTTGTTTCACATGCTCTCGTGTGCATGCATGTCTGTGCACAAAGCACATGTACATACAAAGCGTGTTGCGAGGTCACTTTTTTTGCACATTTTCCAGGTATTTAAAATCTTAACTTGCATGTGATTAGAAGTCGACCTACCTTTGTCCCTTCTTTTTATAGGGTTTCCCTGGTCCTCGAGGAGAAAAGGGTGAAATAGGAGAAAAGGGAGAAAAGGTGACCGCGGTGTTATTAACTGTTGCTTTGTTCCTTGGCCCAGTCAGCTCTGCTGTCTTTATTCCATAATTCATCTCATTAAACCTGATCTTTGTTTTCCCTGTGTGCCAAAAGGCAGCTCACAGATGCGGACTAAACAAAATCCCGTGTTAGAAAGATCATGAAAATTTATGCACAGAATGAGTGCTACCAATGCGTGCCAAAGCACAGCTTGTTTTTAGACTTGCTTTCTCCATCCATCTTTCACTTGTTGAAAGTCCTTGTCAGCCTGAAACTTTTAATGCAGACTTCACCGAAATGAGTAATTTTGGTAGTAATGTCATACAGGAGACTCAGAGCCTCAGCAGCATTTCAGTGTAACTGCTGACCCCAGTGTACTGTGCCTGCACACACTGCCTGTCCCATACCGAGTGGCAAAGGACAGGAACTGTGCTAATCTTTACTATTGACAGTGGCTTATTTACAATTAAGAGAAGTACTCTGTGATGGTTGTGGGCTGAAATTCAATCTTATACTACATTTCTGGTAAACCAACCCAACCCAACCAACCATGTGGGTAATAGAGGAGGCCTGACGTCATTTTCACTGTCCAGACATGGTGGCATGGAAATCTGGAAGATGCAATTTAGAACCAAATGATGTACAGAAATATTCTCTTCAAATAAGTTGAGGCTAACTAATTTCTAGTTAGGCAACTTACTTTAGATTGAAATGTAAAATTAATATCATGACTAAAACACTGTTAAGAACGATGCTAGTTTTTCATGGATACGTCTTGATAGGCGAGTAGCTCATTACATCAGTTTTGAGAATAAATCCTAGGCCAATGGTTTTTGTTTTAGCCTGTTGACAGCTCAACAGTAGAACTATGTCAGTGTTTGCATTATAATGTCTGCTTAACTTGGCTGTAAAAAAAAAAAAAAAAAGAAAAAAATATAGCTCCCATTACTTCTACAAAATTACAGTCCAGGAGCACTCAGCACAGAAACATTTGTACAATTGATTTTATATTTTCAACTTTTATGAGTAGAAGTCTATTATTTATTAAAAATCATTTCATATGTACCACATTCTGCCTCAGTAAAGAGGTTTTAGAAGACTACTAAAAAGAGAATGGTGATTCAGTTCCACATTCAACATTCCTACTGCCAAAAAGGAAAAGCTTTAAGAAAAGATATTATGTGTATACGGCAGGAAGGGAGCCCTTATCCCAAAAATGCAGTTGTCTCTTGATATAAGGGTTGTCAGAAGAGTACTGAGGTATCACCAGGATGGCTGGGAAGGCATCATCACATTCCCTGTATCCCCTGTGCTGCCACAGCTGTGCATGTGGGGCCACAAAGATGAGCCCCACATGATGAGGGGCCTGGAGCATCTCCCATATGAGAACAGGCTGAGGCCTGGGACTGTTCAGCCTAGAGAAGACTGAAAGGGAATCTTATCAATGCTCATTAATATCTGAAGGAGTCAAGTGGGGCAGGGCTCTTTTCAGTTGTGCCCGGCAACAGGATAAGAGGCAATGGGAACTGGAACATAAGAAGTTCCGTATGAACACAAGGAAGAACTTAGTTATGGTGAGACTAACAGAGCGCAGGACCAGGCTGCCCAGACATGTTCTGGAGCCTCCTTTTCTGGAGATATTCAGGACCCATCTAGACACTTTCCTCTGTGACCTGCTGTAGGAAACCTGCTTTAACAGGGGGTTGGACTCTGTGAGGTCTCTTACAACCCCAACAATTCTGTGACTGGAGACTGTGCCAGCCTGACTGCCTGATCTTTTACAGAAGTGCCACAAACTGGTGTTTCTATAGGTGATGAGGAAGGACAGGAAAGAGACCATTTTTTTTTCTTATTCATCTCCATGTATCTCTGTATTTCTGATGAAGCTCTATAGGTCTTGGTAAGGACATTAAGTACTTGGGGAGAGCTCAGTCCATGGGAAAACTGGTCAAGCCTTCAGGAACTCAGGCTACTCTCTACACGTATGAGTGCTGTGTTGGTTCAGATAGGATCACAGGTTTGCCCTGCAAAGTTTGAAGTATAACTAGTCACCTGCTGACTTAAAACATAGCAAGTTAATGAAATAGAGGTCCTAAAGACATGAAGGAGTCAGAAATCAAACTTTACTATCTGTTGTTATAATAATTCTTTAAGTATGTCCACACTCTGTGCTTACATCTACTCACAGTAAACATATCTGTGTTGCAATGAGCACAAAGTGAGATTTGACCCTAAAGCTGTTAATATTCTGTGCTATAAAGCTACGCTTCTAGGTTTAACATGAAAACCCAGCCTGTGGTTTTTATATGTCACAGCCTTACAATTTGGTACATAAGGGTAATGTTTGGGTTGCTTTTTTCTAAGTATCATCCTGAAACTTTTTGGCACACAGAAAAGATGAAAAAGGAACTTTGCCTATCATGTCGCAAGCACAGTATGTTTTGTTCATGGAAAAGATATTTTTTCATTCAAATGTGTCAAGTATGCTACGATGCTGAATGAATAATGTGCTTTCCTCTTTGTTTAAACATGTTACAGCTAATTGGTTTTTATTTGTGTTAAAAAAAAAAAAAAAACTTTTTCTGTATGCCTGTATGTGAATGAATTAAGACTTTTTGTGCTGGTGTGGTATAGTTAGATTCTGTTTACTATTCTTCACCAAAACCCACCTGTCTTTCCAAAGGGGCATTCCTTCCTTCTCCTTCTACCTTCATCCCCCATAATTCCCCTGTCTTTTTTACCCTTTTCCTCACAAATTAAATCCTCCCAATAGCCACAACCTTGCTTGCTGGTTCTCCAGTGTCATACTAATTTTCCTATGACTATTTTTCCCGTTTCTTTGTGATATTCCTGATTCACTCATCCTTCCTATCCCATTTTTTACAACCATAGCCCAGTTTGTTTCTTTCTTTTTTTTTTTTAACGGAACCTTTTTTTGATTTTTGTGAATTTGAGAGCAAGCCTGAAACTCATTTACCATTGTGATCAACTGGTGTGAAATCAATTAGAAAATGAACTCTCCAAACATCTTATACTGCTTGAAGGTGAGGTCATTTTTGCAGATAGCTTTATTGAAGGGATTAACTTATTCCATGAGTAACTAAAGTGCTGGAAGTTTCACATTTAAAAAGAAAATTCAGTTCAAAATCAAAGGATTTATGCAGTAAAATGAGTAGATGAAATGCTCTCTGCTGTTGAAAGAACATTTAAATAGACATTAAATAAAGATTATTCAAATATTAGGCTATTTAATTAAAGGAACTCTAATGATCCCTTTTAACTAGTTTATGGTCTCAAGTCATCATGAAGTCTTTGAAAGAGCCACAGAACTTCTCCATCAAGCAGTTTGGGTGCTTTGATTCCTCTAACAGGGTTTGAAATAAAGGATCCCATTGTATTTAGAGTGACAGGAGCGCACCCTTGGTGATGGCAGCAGGTTTCCATGGACGTAACCAAGAATAGGATTTGTCCCAGACTCTTACCAGAGTGCAGGAGGTCAATTCAGCAAAGGACGCACCAGGCCAAGTTTACCCTTGATGTGACATCATAGCCCTTGACAGAATTCTGCCACAGACTGACTGTACCGTCCCTTCTGAAGTTTCAGAGAAATGATGCCAATGTCCTCCACTCTTGCCAAGCTACTTTTTGACCCATGACAAATCTTCTGAAGAAGCTAACAAATTTATGTGTACTTCAGAACTGTCATTTAGAGCAAATAGGAAACCTCTCATTTTGGACTATGGAGTGGGGGAATTTGCAGATTTGCCTCTTTCTGAAAAGATCAGAGATTTCAAGCCCTGTTCTAGGATTCAAAACATCCATGATACTGAAAGGAAATGTCAACAACACAAACTAATATCAACTGATTGCAGTTCTTGCTTGTGATCATATAATTTATTTTTCCACATAATGCACCAACCAAAACAGAACACAGTGGTAAGTGTCCTTTCAGCTCTCCATTGGCTTAAAAAGAAAAACTCAAACTTTTCAACCAATCTTTCTTCATTTTTTTTCCCAAAAGAATGAAACATGTTTTGTCCAAACCATTGTATCCACAGGGGGAAAAGGGAAAGAAAGGCAAAAAGGGGCCTAAAGGGGAGAAAGGAGAACAGGGTGCTCCTGGATTAGATGCACCTTGCCCATTGGTACGTCTCACTTGTGTATTGGACAACTGATCATCCTGCTATAGATTGATGGAATAAGAAATGAGGGGAGAGGAACAAGCACCACCTAGTGTGTCACTGGTTGCACTTGTTAATGCAGCATTATCTCAAGATTCACAAATTGGGGAACAGAGTTGGTTTTTCAACCTCCTAATTTGGTTTAAACCAATGGATTTAAGGCCTTCAAGCAGGACGTAGTTGTTGCTATTTTCACTGTTTTCTGCTGAATGTTGAAAAAGAACCAAATTCAGTGTGGGTCAGAGTCCCTGACCCCATACGTTGAAGCTATACCACTGCTGTGAGCTTGCTCCTCTTGCCTCTCTGTTGTTATTTGTTTGCTCCAGCTAAGTCAATACCGAAGGCATTTCCTTGACAGTAACGTTGCAAGTTAATCTTTACAAACAGGGATTCCGTGGAATTAAGGGGGAAAAAGGGGAGCCAGGCCAGCCTGGCCTGGATGGGCTGGATGCCCCTTGCCAATTGGTACAGTATTTCTCTTTCCTACCAACCCTGCATGCAGTTCCTTTGTTTGTAGTCAGCTGTTCTCAATGTAATGTATTTCTGAGCTGACTTTACATTACCCACAAACACATGCATGTGCATGAATAAATCAGCTGCTTTGGTGATCGTAACCATAAAAAAAGAGCACACTATCCTCCTGATGCCTCAGACCTAACTCTCAGCAGTTTGCTCCCACATCACATGGCTATTTATAAGTTTGCATCCTTCCTACATTTTCCCTGAGAATTGTTATTTCCTCCCAAAATGCCTACTGCCTTACTGACCCTGAACCCAAGTCTTTGTAGAACCCCAGCACAATCACCACTTCTAATCTAGTCCGATGACTTCCGTTTGCACTGGCTCAGTTTTAAACCCTCGCCCACCTGAGAGCTACTCTGCACCCTGGTCTTCCTTTCAAATCCGTGTCGTTGAGGGTACATGTTTTCAGGATTTGGCCAAAATGAGTTTTATTTAAAGAATCAGAAAAATATGATTTCTGAAAATCAAGCCATAGGTTTCCAGTAAGCAAATCTGGAGCCTAACCTTTCAGACCTTAGACAAGCAGTAACTTTGGTGTCTGGTCTGTTCATCAAATAGTATTTAAATAGATTTGGAAAGGAAAAGCTTACCTGAATCTTTGTAAGAAGATAACAGTCTGCTGCCCAAACCCTCACTGTCTTTGTTATTTAATATCTCCAATTTAATGGTCTTACCCTTGGAACTTACCTTCCTGCAATACACACAACACTTCCCACTCTATGTTAGCATGAGTTCAAGTTCCCACCTGTACTAAAATTCTACTCGTTGACCCTCTCCCTTGTACCAATCTGGCAATACTGATTTAATGGCAAAGTAAGTTTAAGTTATTATCCATTTAAAAACTAAACAAACAGACAGGCAGTCCTACATACACATTTTCTACAGAAGCAAGAAAGAATTTTTTTTTCATTGTTCATGGTGAAATTTGATCTGCATGTTCTGATACTGTTTGTTGGTTAAGCACGGTTCTCTAAGATGAATGTTAAATCAAGTAAATTTTCTTTCAACTAGATCTCTTCTAATTTAAGGTCAATGAATTTTAATCTTAAATACGTAGTCTCTAAGATTAGTCCATGCTCCATTTTGTTTGCTTCCACTCAATGGTAACCATATCTCATATATTTTGTTGGGGATAATCAAGCATGCCTTGGTAATTTAAAATTGTTTTTGTCTCTTTATTATCATTTATATCTGGAGGCTTACTAACAATTGATGAATGAAAATATGTTTCATTTACAGGTTCTTACCATAATAAGCTGCTAAGCAAGCAGCATGATTTCTTGCTTTAGGCAGCAAGCCATTCCCATCAGATTACATTACATTCAAAAATTCTCATTAATCACTACCTTTGTGTGCAAATCCACGTCAGAGGCGTTATTATTCTTTATTCTAAAAAACGTCAAGACCTGAACTTTGTGCTGCTCGAGTATCATGTATTAATGTCATATGTGCTCCTAGTTCTATGTATATAACTCTTTGATGGGTAAGGCCTATATAGCTATGTGAAAACCTGTGTTATCAAAGTCAAAAATTGGTCTGATCTTAGTGAGTGCATAGAAATGTATGAAAGTAGGGTAGTGACAGAAAAGCAATGGTGAGACACTCAGTAGCCCCAACACTAGTGTTCTCCTCTGCTGTGTCATTCAGGACTGTTCAGACTTTCAGATTTTGCTGCTGCGTTCAAAAGCTAAGACTGAAAGTGAACAGAGCAGATCATTGCCAAATTTGAGTCTTGCTATCTTATCACTGGAATAACTTTGCATTAGGGGCTCAGAAAAAGCAATACCCTCCAGATAAAAGTGATAATGTTTTTTTGCTCATTATCTTGTATATCCAGCTGTAGATTGTTGTGAATGACATTATATTTAAGTTGCTCTGGCAGCAATAGAAAAGTTATCGAAGTGTTCTTGCAATTAGACAAACGGTAAAAAAATGATTTAGAAAAAGGTATCTTTGTGGCAGAGATGCATGTATGTATTTACAGGGTCAGCCACCCCTGTGGCTTTTTCTTCACCTTGAGAACAGGAGAGATGAAGTTAGGAAGCAGTAGCTACCTGATTGATAAAAAGACAAAGCTGCTCTAGCTGCTCTAACAGATATAAACAGAATAACTGTGCTATCAAACCTAACTGCATTCTTTTTATTTTTCTCCTCACATGGAAACAGGGTCCTGATGGATTACCAATGCCTGGCTGTTGGCAAAAGGTAGGATGGGTAGAGCTGTTCTCCTCAGGGCAGCATGTCCTTGGCACACAGAAAATCCTGTCGCAGTCATACTGAACCAAACTTCAGAGCCTCTTAGGCATCTCGACATATGCAGAAACACAAAAATAAGACCTCTCTGTGACCATAGTTGGTGCGATGAGGTTGTAATGTATAATAGAAGTAGTATCTCGTTGAGGCAGTATTTTAGAAACAGCTGGCATTTGATTTCTACAAAGTCTAAAACGTTTTCATCTGAAGAGTCACACATCCTTTAGTTTCAGCACATGGCTGCTGCTTCCAATTCTTTATAAAAGCTCATGCATAGGATATTTTTATCAAACATTTACTTTGCTCTATTACGATGCTATTTTTTCAGGGAAATCTTATAAGAGCAATGCATCCTGCCCTTCTCTGCCTTACCTTTCCATTGAATATATTTTCCTGTTTGTTATGTTTTATACTAACAATAATTGTGTGATTAGTAATATTACTTTTATACTAACGTTAGTGGCAGCATTTTTTTAGTGCAGCTTTAACTTAGACGGTGCTAGTTTTAAAAACAGCGTATTCCGAGTAAAGATGTAGGTGGAGCGATACGTAAGAAAAAATGAAAACAAAGCTGAAGTGAAATTCTGGCTGCATTTATCGCTGAGGAGTCTCCAGTGCTACTCTTAAAATTCTGCCATTTTCTATGTATTTGAAATAGAAATCAGAAGTATTGGTTTACTAACCTGACCAATCTGTCTCTTTTTGTCTCTGCAGTGATGAATCTAACCTTACGAGCATGAAGTTGTGTATATAGTGCTCCACTTTTTGTATTTATAGTTGAAAATGGAAAATTTGATTTTACAAGTCTGAGAGATGTTTACATGTAGCTGCTTCTACTTGTTTGCAATAGTCCATGTGTACATCTTTTTTCACTTACATCTGCAGTTAGATGATGTATAACTGCAGGACAAACCTGCAAAGATTGTCTCTCTAGAGATACCTATACAGCGATCAATAACATAAATCCGATTACTTCTGCAAATTCTTATATTTTGGCTTGTGGACCTGCATGGACAATGAGTGCCATGAACTAGTTTACAAGAAATTGTGACCAAATAAGAGCTAAATGCTATGAAATGTACTGTACCAGCTGCCATTGGAGTTTACTGACTTGGCTTCCATGCCCATCTTAAACGCTTCACTGATTCATGCCACTACATCTGCTTCTACAGACTAAAAGCATGAGTTTGTGTGCCAAGCCTGCTTGTTGTGTGATCACGTCACATGCTAAATGGCTGCTCACGGTGACCTTTGATTCCAGCTTCTGAATTGTTTCCTTTTGTCATCTCAAGGGAGTCACACCATGGCTTATTGCTAAAAAGAGATAAAGCAGAGGAGGATAGAAAGAGGCCTTGAATTTTTGGGGAACAAAGTTCCGGCTGCAGGTGGATGGCCTCCAGTCTTGTGGGTCCCGCCTGTCAATCAGCATCAGTTTGCCTAGCACTGCTCACAGTCATGAAGACATTCGCGATAGGCCCTGTTGAGTGCTTAATCAAGGAGGAGGGAAGGTTGAAGAAGAAACCAGGCTTCTCTGTGGGTTGTTTGGAAAGGTTATAGAGATGCTGCGGGGATCGCCTGAGACCAGAAGCTTCTCAGCCTTACTCAAGGATTGGCACAGTCTGTGCTGTGTTTGTTGTATTTGGGGACTGCTGAAGGAAGAAGCATCCTTGAGACAGGGACGAATCGAAACACCCTCCCTGGGAGGATAATAGAACTGACCAGATCCGTGCGTACCATGGTGTGGTTTTCAGGTGATGCAATTTAAATGACATAAAACTAGCTGAACTTCTCTGCAGAATTTTGGAAGCTATGGTTAGTTTTCCTGTAACGGTTGCCACAAAGGACACATTTCAGTAATCTATTCAACATTTGTGGTACTGGCATTGATGGAAATACTTCAAGTCACACGTTCATCTTGCTTCAGTATTAACCATCTTTTTTTCTTTACAATCTTTAAAGCCTTTAAATGTAAGAAAGAAAAGAGTTTATTTTTGTTTCACAGGCTTACTTACTCACCTTGTTCTTTTTCTGCTGTTTTGATGACCTTGGTGGACATTGTCACCCATAAAACATTGGAGAGAAATAAGTCTGTGATGACTGCTGCACATGTCATCATACCGCACTGTTCCAGCTGTGGTTATTTCTCCCCTTCTGTTCAGGTGATGAAGTTTCTAGAGGTACATTGGAAAAATTTTCCTTCTCTGTTTTTATTATTATTATTATTACTAGAAATACTTAATTCATGCACATTTGTATAGTTTTTGCCTCAAGGTTTTTCTTTTCCAGTTTTGAGTCTTCATATGGTGCACTGTAGTTGGAGAGATTAGTCTGAGAGATGGTGCCATATTTGACAGATGGAAATTCTTTTTTAAATCACTTCAGTTTCTAGTAGATAGTAGGGCGTTCACAAACTTTTTAAGTTACTTTTCTGAGCGTTGTCTTTCATATGTAGACCAAAACTAAAATCAAGGAAGGCAGGCTGTCTCCATCCATGTGTGGGCATCTTGCCCTTTTGGAATACACATTTTTTCTTGCTCAGTCATTTCAAAGTTGTGAAGATGGGGACCTGCTGTAGTTGCACTTTTCGTACGGCTTTTCAGTATCAGATCGATATATAGCCACTCTAATGCTGTCTTTCACTCTGCTAAAAATTTATTGCCATCTTGGTGTATCAGAGACAAGAACAGATTTTCTTGGGGGTAGAAATCTTTCACAGATTTTTTTTTTTTTTTTAAGAAAGATTATTTTAGTGGCCTCTATCTAATACTACCTTACTAACAACGAAAGTCCAACATTATTTGTGTGTATATATATACATAATATAATATATATATTTACGGCTCAATCCCATCTTTCCAACAGTAAGATATAAACAAATGTTCACATATATGAGGAAAAATAAGTTTATTTGCTTAAATTCTCAGAAATGCAAGTATGAATCTATTTGAATAATTACATTTACAATAATAAAAGCCTTTACGTGTCACAGATTCATGTTAACAGAGTGCTACAGCACTAATGTGAGCAAGGGACTTCCCACAAAGGGGACAAGAGGAGCATCATGTATAAATCATGAATGATTTAGTCGCCAGATTGCTTCTGCTTGCTTAAGAAGTGCTGTCCCAAAACAGCTGTGTTGAGGAGCAAGCTGCTCTCCTGACAAGAAGCAGCTCCTCATGCCTATGCTCTGACTTGGCATGGTTTGGGCTACCAATATTACAGATGTGAAGACAAGCAGTTGCATGTTTTTATAAAAGATCAAATACTGGCAATCATACATTAAGATCAGATTTATTTATATTTGAAAGGTCCCTCTGAGTATTCAAATGGAAAATAAAGTGGGATGTTTATTATTTGGCTAGACATCCTTTGGCAATGCCATATTGAGAGTGTCTACAAACACAACGTACTTATTTTAAGAAATAGCAACAGAATGAGCTATGCATTTGCATGCTGTCATTAGCACTTTGATATTTTTTAAATTTGTATATCTATATTTTTAAACTGTCCTGATGGCATCCATTTCTATATGCATCAATAAAGCCAGCAGAACTTTGGTTCACAGTTTCTTCATTCAGGAAAGCAGTTTTATAGGTTCTACTGTTAAATATTAGTCAAAACACATTTCTCCTCAAACTCCTTGACAGTGAGACCCCACTGATGAAACACTTAAGCACCTTTACTCACTTTCTTTTCTGTCTTGCAAAATGATTTATTTCTTTAACTCCTGCCACATAAGAATAAGGAATACCGTTGTGGTTTTTCTGGTTGTTATTTTGTTTTTTGTTTTGTTTTTGTTTTTTTCAGATAGTCTAATTTAACTTTTTAAAGCCTACTGTTCATTTTCATGGAAAGTTCATTCCACATAAAAGACCATGGTGAATAGCAGATAATTTCACAGGATAAACTAGATAGATTTGATGCTAAGATATGCATAAAATGTCTCATCTTGTAAGATTTACTGGAAAATGAAACCCGACAGTATCTAGAAAAGTTGTGTTCAGTACAAAAAAAAAAAAAGGGACCTCAGTTTAATATTTCATCAAGAGAAGCACCCTGTGAAGACTTGCAACATGTTTATTTTCTAAAAAGCAATTGCTTTTGGTGCTAGTATATCTTTTTTTCTTTTCAGGGCAAAGCTGCGGCTTGAACCACTTTGTGTGTTATATCTTTTAGTGGCATTCCTCCAAATAGATAATTATTTGATTTGCTTAGTTTGGGACAGGAGCAGTAGTTCCTCTACCACTCTTTTCAGTTGTAGAAATGTGTAGCTGTGTTAGTCTACACCATTTCTATACCCCTGACCTTTTCAGGTATGATTAGTTCCTTTTTCTTTGAGAGTTTTCAGTATTTGTTTCAGATGAAGTTTTGTAAGCATCTGTTACTCAAGTGTAGCATAACCACGTTGTGCAGAAATCCTGCTACAGAAGCAGTAAGTCTTTTTAAGCACTGTATGAAATATGTCTGACATTGGTCCTTGTCTTCATATTCATCGGTTAGTATGTGGAACCTTTTTCAGGATGTTTTGGACACTTTTTTATTTTTCCTCAGTTAAAGCGTGAAATTTTAACTCATGGAACAAATATACAATGTATTTTTGATCTGTATTTTTTATTTATTGCTGATTTTGATGTCACCTTCTGGTATTGTATCAAGGCAGAATGACGCTCTTCATCCAGCTGTTTAGATATTCTTTTTGTCTACCATTTAAGTATTATGAATGAGTTGCAGAATAATCAAATGCACACGTGTCAAGTATTCTCATGGAAATACTTGGATTAGTCACGTACAGTGTGGCAAGATAGCTTTGGATCCATTAAGGGTTGTAGAAGCATGCATGTGGGCATTTGTTACTCATTTGTGCCAATGGAAAAGATGATGCAACACCAATGGAAAGAAGCAGTCCTTATGGGAAGGTTGTGTAAGGCTGGGGGCTGTGTCAGGACCCTGGACCCAGCCAGCATTTAGAGTTGCACTGACTGTTGCACAGCTGGAATTTTACACCGGGGCTCAGCCGTGCAAGGTTCTTCACTTGGCTGTGCTTCGCTTTCGCTAGCACCAGACCAAGGAGAGTGACCCATCCTTCCCTTGCAAAGAATGTATTGTGTAGTAACAAGGGGAATATTAGCAACTTCAGGTGATTTTTAAGCACCACTGGCTGCATAAATCAGGCAAAACACTTTGCTCACTACTGTCAGTAAAAGCTGGGGATCCACTCCCGAATGTGATCAAGACGCTAAAAGACACACAGTAGTTGACTTTCAAGTTTCCTTTTCTCTGCTACTTAACCACCTTATATTTCATTTGCAAATCTTTGTATTTTACCTAAAGAGACCTAAATTTTCACACTGAAGAGTGATACAAATCACTAATATCTGCAACAACAGTGGTCAAAAGAAAGTCGGATTTTTAGTCATAGCAAAATAATATTCCATTTCAGTGACCAGAATCATGACAAATACCTGGCTTATTCATTTTTTTCCCTTTCTGCAACTTTTATGAATCTGAATGTTGCTGTAATGTGTAAATGAAGGTTTTCTTGCATCTTCTGTAATTGAAGTATTTTACATGGTGGTTGGAGTCATTAAATGATGTTGGAAACAAGTGCCTGCCACCATCATTTCTGATAGAATTTGAGAGCGATAGTCCACAAAACCAGTGGAGTTTGTATTATAAAAAAAAAAAAAAAAAAAAAAAAACAA